AAATTATAGTACCAAATGTAGTTTATTTATTTTTATTTTCTCATTTGTTTATTTTAGTGATAAATAACATGTCATAAAAATAATTTATCGATTCGATTATTATAACAAATCGGATCGAATTGTTATTTGATCAGATAGTTATCGATAATGAGAATGTGATGTCTGTGAAAATATTGAAGGATTTGAAGAAAACAAACATTTTTTTGGATAACTTGTTTTGACAATTTTACCTATCAATTAAGATGTCATTTGAGTTAAAATTATTGTTTGAATGTTGACTGACGATTATGGACGAAATGCGTGAAATAGACCAACGCTGTAATTATATATAAAGGTTTGGGACTTCGACCACAAAAATTAAAGGTTTGTGTGTAATCTGCAACAAATTGAAAGGTTTGGGACTAGCGTTGCAATTTTTTCGAGTCAAAATTACTATTGAAACGTTGACTGACGGTTTTATGGACGGAATTAAAGGCTTGGGACTGACGCTGCAACTACATATAAATGTTTGGGACTTTGACTTAAAAATAAAAGATTTGGGTGTAATCTGTAATAAAATGAAAGGTCTGGGACCACGGCCGCAATTTTCCCTTGAATAAAAACAAAATACTGGCAATTACATTGCAAGTACAAAGTTAATGGCTCTTTTAAATGAAATCCATTCAAAAGGATCGATTATGCTATTTTGTTTTGAAAGTTTGGATGCAAAACGCAATATGGCAAACCTTCGGACCATTTGCTGCAATTCCCCCGCATTACGGAAACGCCTTAAATTCGAAAAAAATCTGCATCCCATTTGGGCATTTGGCTCAATTTTCACCTTATCCCAACTCACCTCCTCCGTCAATCCCTGTTCCAAAACCCTGCAAAAAACCTCCTTCGATGGCCTCCACATTCAAACCAATCGTATAAAATATTGCGCTCTCAATTCTAACTCAGATCCCCAGTAAAAATCCCATCTTTTTACCGTCTTTAATGGAGCTCTGTTCGTCTTTCAAACCACACTCCACGGTAGACATCTCCTTCTCCTCCTCGTTCTTATCCTTCCCCTTCCAAACCCAGCTCAAAATCCCAAATATTGCTACAAATTTTAGAATTTTTGCTGTAGCTGTAGACCCAAAAGAGCTCCCACGAAACAGCCCCCAAAGACTTTTAAAAGAGCTAGCAGAGCGCAAGAAAGTAGTCTCCCCCAAGAAAAAACCGCCCCCGAAGAGATTCATTCTCAAGCCCCCACTTGATGATGCAAAACTGGCTGAAAGATTCCTCAACAGCCCTCAATTATCACTAAAATCCTTCCCTTTGTTGAGTTCTTGCTTGCCTTCTTCCCGTTTAAACAATGCAGATAAAACGTGGATGGATGAGTACTTGCTTGAGGCCAAGCAGGCTTTAGGTTACCCTTTGGAGCCTTCGGAGAATTATGGCGATGATAATCCAGCTAAGCAGTTCGACACATTGTTGTATCTGGCATTTCAGCATCCCCATTGCGAGAGGACTAATGCTCGCCACGTGAGATCGGGGCATTCCAGGCTATGGTTCTTGGGGCAGTATGTGCTGGAGATGGCATTGTGTGAGTTTTTCTTGCAGAGGTATCCTAGGGAGTCACCAGGGCCAATGAGGGAGAGAGTGTATGCTTTGATAGGGAAAAAGTTTCTGCCCAAGTGGATAAAAGCTGCTAGCTTGCAGAATTTGATTTTCCCGTACGACGACATGGATAAGTTGATTAGAAAGGATCGAGAACCGCCAGTGAAGTAAGTGATGTTCTTTGTTTTTTGGGGTTCTGATACTTAATGAATTAATAGACATAGTTTTCAATCTTGCTGGTCTGAAACTTTATCAGTTATTTTATTCTTTCCAAGTACTTGTACATATTTACATGATTTGTAAAAAAAAGATTTCAAGGAAATACTTGAAAGAATTTACATGTTTGATGCATGAATTATGATTGCACATAATTAAAAGTAACACGTGCATTATCAAGAATGATTGGGAAATCATACTGCATAATATAGATATGTGGCACGTTATGGGATGGGCTTCTGCTGCATATATAATGTGATAAAATAAATCAACTCTTACATAGTTGGAGCAGAATAGATAAGTATTCCTCGCCTTTGTTGAAGATTGAAGAAAGTATTTATTGGGTACACACTTCTCTTCTTGTGAAGTGACACAATTGATGCGTTTCCAATAATTAAGAACACTAGGAAACCTACCCTCTAATTCTACATATTCACCACGCTTAAAAAGTTGTAAATAGATGCCTGTTTACATACAATGTCCAATATGCCTTATTGTAACACCTATTTGCAAGACTTAACCCTTAATAACAGTCAATGAGTCATGTCCCAAGTCATGAATTAACCAATTCTAATGAAGGAACTCCTGAGTTCCATCAGCCTCTTGCTACACTAAAACAAATTATGTGAACTGAAGAACTCACACTGCAAGGATTATGGGAAAAAATGGAAGATTGATGTATGGGTTTCATGATTGAAATTGGACTCAGGTAAGATAACTGGATTGATGAGAGCTTGAAAAGAGTGTGGCTTGAGAATATTGAAGTAGGAATTACTTCTGTATGTATGTATTCTTAGCCTCATCCTATGTGAATATTATTGTGAATACTTTGGAGTGTGGGACTGTGGGTGGCGGTGCTTTCTTGCTGAGAAAGCTCTATTATTATGTTTCTTTTGCTGTCCTGCATATAAGAATTGCACTGTCAAATGATTACATACTGAATTGGCGAAGATCGTGTAACAGATAGTTGTGAAGCATATAAATAACAATTTGGTCATTGTTCTGAGACTGATAATATTTTGCTAAATACATTCACTTCAATACTTTGATTTAAAAATGTAAACCAAAAAATTACTATGCATATGATATAGCATGGCGTAATATTGGTTAAAATTGTAAATGTGGAGATTGATGGTATTATTTTTTGCCTCATGTGTCCTGAAAAAGTGAGTGCATAATGTGCTTTTGAAGAAGGGTTGTAAGGCTTCTCTAGTAATTGAAATGACAGCTGGGTGTGATATATGCATCTTCCTGCAATTCTTTTTATTTCATATTGTTTATTGTGTTTGGCAGTTGGATTCACAATGCAAAATAATCTAATGTGCACTCTTGAGCTGCTATCCTCTACTTCATGCTGAAGTTCCTTAAACAAATTAGAATAATCTATCAATTTCTGCAATGAACCTACAACTTGGCCGTCACTTGATGCTTTGCAGATTTTATTTCAAATTATTCTGATGATAGTTATTTGATGTAATTGGTCGTGAAAAAGTTACATGTTGGTAATGCCACAAATTTTATCCTGGCAGATCTGTATTTTGGGCCTTGTTTGGGGCAATATATTTGTGTTTTGGCATGCCAGAAGTATATCGTGTTCTTTTTGAAGTGTTCGGAATGGACCCTGAGGCTGAAGACTGCCAACCTAAACTGAGGAGACAGCTTGAAGATGTAGACTACGTTTCTGTGGAATTCGAAAGTAGAAAGCTGAGCTGGCAGGATGTTGCTGCTTATAGGGTAAGCACTAATTCATTTTCAGTTTGACGATATTATTTTTACTTTAGTCTTACAATAAGAAAAATAGTATGCGGAGCTTCATCCTGGATCTACTCATTGATAAATTCCGATTCACAGCCTCCAGAAGATGCTCTTTTTGCACAACCGAGGCTTTTCAGGGCATGTGTTCCTCCTGGTATGCATCGTTTTCGTGGAAATATATGGGATTATGATAGTAGACCACAAGTCATGAAAACAATCGGATATCCCTTGGCAGTGGTGGATAGGATCCCTGAGATCACTGAAGCTAGGAACATAGAACTCGGACTTGGCTTACAGGTATTCTCTTTGTTGTCCTGCTGCTTGCAGCTTTATCCAGCACCTTAAGTTGAGCAACGTATTTATGCATACTCATAAAAGCTCAAGTCCTACATAACTTTTCTGCTAGACTATGTATCTACACTTGTTGGAATATGTTCTGTTTTTGCTGAGCTATAAATCTGATTGAATGTGCATTAGCATCTTCCTAATGGTTTTTCCCTCTTTTTTACATATACAGCTCTGTTTCTTGCACCCTTCCAAGTTCAAATTTGAGCATCCACGGTTTTGCTTTGAGAGACTGGAATATGTTGGCCAAAAGATCCAGGTAATCACTTTCTCAATTATACAGCTTTATTTTTACTTGTCATATTCCTAGTTCCAACCTGCATATGATGGGATACGTTTAAGACAGAACTTAAATAATCAGATGTATCCCCTTCCGAACAGCTTAAGCAACTAGATGAGCTGGTTCAACAATATCAAATCTTGGCATCAATAGGTTTAATATGACTGTATATTCCCACTATTTTGCAGGATCTTGTATTAGCAGAGAGGTTGCTAATGAAGCATCTAGACGCTCCCGGAAGATGGTTGCAGGAAAAGCACCGCCGACTTCTGATGAACAAGTTCTGTGGGAAGTACTTGAGGGAGAAATATCTCCATCGCTTCATTATTTACAGCGAGGAGGTACAGGATTCCTATGAACATAATAGAAGGCTGAGAAATCCAGCTACAAGCTCTGTTCAACAGGCCATTCATGGGCTTGCGTATGCTGTATACGGGAAGCCAGATGTAAGACGCCTCATGTTTGAGGTTTTTGACTTCGAACAGACCCAGCCTAAGGCAGTATGAAGAATTGAATATACAAGGGGTCGACCGTTGACCTGCCTACAATTTTAATGTATTCTTTTTCTGTTAAGATTTTCCATCTCTGTAGTCTGTATGATGAAGAGGGCAATGTACAGATTAATTTTATGATGAATGTAGATTATTATATATCTCAACAATCTGAAGGTTTAGGCATTTAGGCTTGTATAAATGTTGATTTTGAGTTTTCCTTCTTTTCAATGATGAGGACCAATTTTGCAATTAAAAGGGTACCTTTTATATATATACACACACAAGATTTAATATTAAACGTCAATGATCCTATAACACAAGGAGAATGTACAGATTAATAATTGAAGTAAATAAAAATATTATTATTAAATATAAAACCAAGCTTATGGATATAAAATGAAAATCAATCCGAACACGTTCTACAGTATCTGTCAAAAGATTAAAATCAGATGTGGTTAATATCCAAGAGCTTCGTAAATATCATATGTAACGTAGGGATATTACTTATTGAATCTTGCTACGTGTATATAAAGATTTACATAAGAGAGAAAATGTTACGTGGCGCTTTACCATTTAAACACAATTTAACTTTTTCAAAAACGTATGGCATTAACAAAATTAAACTCTTATTTGACTCTTCATTTATAAACTCTAATTTCTTATGTTCGTTTTCAACTACATATTCACACAATAAAATATTTTGCACATAAACTTGAAACTTTTCCATACTTTTTAATAGTATATTCTTAAAAAAAAATCAATATTCAAAACCCCATTTTCCCCTAATTTCTCTCAATAATGACCATCAAACATTGGCTAAATGCTGGGGTTTTGCGATATACGATTAAAACACTGCAGCACAACATGTGTATGTAAGTCATTATGTACATGTAGCACAACCGATCAAACCGTGAGAGAGTTGAGCCCCTTGAAAACTCAACATTGTTTCAGTAATTCCAATTTAAATCAATACTCAATTTCAATTCTATTCATTCATTTATTCAACACACTTGCGTCATATAATACAGTCATACTTCTGTTTATACAAATACAAATTGCTTTATAAACATACAAATTTGATAAATCTATTGCGGAATCCTATCACATACTCGAGCGAAATCAAGTTTGGAAAGAAGGAATTGTGCTGGCACTCAACATGGTGCTCCCTGTAAAGGACTTTGTGATGAGCTCTTTGTTTATATGAGAACTTCATTTCTCATCAAAATATAAGCCTGCTTACGAATTGAGTTTTCTCGAATATGTTGTTTGGCCAATTCATTTACATATGTGCATTTGCATCTGATACAAAAAAAAACTCAAAACTTTTCCATACTTTTTAACTATACATTCTTTAAAAAATCAATATTCAAAATACCATTTTCCCCAATTTCTCTCTATAATGGCAATTAAACATGAGCTAAATGTCAGGGTTTTGCGATATACGATTAAAACACTGCATTACATCATGTGTATGTAAGTCAGTATGTACATGTAGCACAACCGGTCAAACCATGAGAGAGTTGAGCCCCTTGAAAACTCAACATTTCAGTAATTCCAATTTTTATCAGTACTCGATTTCAATTCTATTCATTCATTTATTCAACACACTTGCGTCACATAATACAGTCATAATTCTGTTTATACAAATGCAAAGTGCTTTATAAACATACAAATTTGATAAATCTATTGCGGAATCCTATCACATACTCGAGCGAAATCAAGTTTGGAAAGAAGGAATTGTGCTGGCATTCAACATGGTGCTCCCTGTAAAGGACTTTGTGATGAGCTCCTAGTTTATATGAGAACTTCATTTCTCATCAAAATATAAGCCTGTTTACGAATTGAGTTATCTCGAATATGTTGATTGGCCAATTCATTTACATTTGTGCATTTGCATCTGATACAAAAATTCCTCCACCAGTGCTTGGGACAGATGAGTTGAATGCATATTTGCACAAATATCAGTTAGAACTTGATCCTCAACTTGAAGCTCTTGTCGGGAGGTGTGCTCCATGCAACATATTCTGACCATATAAACGACTTGAGAGACTATTCTAGATCCCATCTTTCATTTTACAGAAACAGCAGGAAACTCTGGTCAAAGTTTGTCGATGTGAATATTCAGCATTTAGTGTCTCCAGAGGTCATTTCTTTTTAGTTTAGTTCACAAAAGAAAACAGAAGCTGGCTGATTTTTGTGTTATTAGCATTTGCAAACATTTCTTTGAGTTTGATCGTCTCTCCTTTCATTCTTTACATGCGTTAGATTTTCATGACAAGCTCCTTCGGTATGATCATCAGGATAGACTCGCGGCAAAAGAAGCCGTGGTAGTTTCTTCAGCCTCATTATCCATGTTGCCTATTTTTGTTACTGATAATTGTTACTATTATCAGTGTGTCGTGTTTTGATCTTTTCGTTTTTCCTTTGCTTTCGACTTCTGCATCACTTCCTTCAAATATATTATCTCACAAACTAGTATATTGAGTACCTTTGCTCTTAATCTAGGCTCACCCATTTTTCTCATAAGTGAGGGCCGCAGAGAATAGCAGACTACAGACCCAATAGCCTAAAGACACTGTTCCACGCACCAGAGACTCATTGTAATTTAACTTCGCTACGATTGTTAGGCTGGTTGTTGAGGTCGCAAACATCATTTGTGAACAAATTTCCTATGAAGTTTGATCAAGAATACTACATTGAACTTCCCGCTTCTATGGATTCTAAAACAAATTTTGGTTGTATCAGTATTTGTTGAAGTTCTATTTGCTCTCCTGTCAAGATAAATTCCTCCAAGAGATTTAATAAAGCTACCTTAAAAACACACAGTGTAACAACCTTGTGAGAGATGACAGATTATTGCATTCTATACACAGCAAAATTTGTTGCAAACTCCAAATTGTACCATAAATAATGTCTTGAGTTTCTGATAATTAGAGCTCTACAATGACGTGATTCATTTACAAACATTAATCTTCTTCGTCCTGCACTTGATTCCTGATCCACTTTGTGGCTACCCATTTTTCCCCTTTGATAACCGGACAGCTCCCATGAAGAGATAACTGCACCGATGCCAAAGAATGCAGCAATCAGAAACCAATTCAGCCGTAAAGACATAACAAGAAATTATTATAAACCTTGTCAAACCATTCAAAAATATGTAAAGCACAATCTCATGCAAAACCGCAAGTGACAGTTTCAAGAAATCAAGTTCATGAAAAGTGCAAAATAATTGTAGAAAATTACATGTGAAATTTTCATAGTACTTTTCATATTATACTACAGAAATTGAAGTCTAGCACAGCATTGCCCTTGAGGTCATACTACTTGTTTCCCCTGATTCTCTCTCTTCCGACATTGTCAACAGCCCTTGCTTACACCAGTCATTCTATTTTTGTTACTGCCATTTTCAGTCTATTCTTTTATTTTACCCCCTTGTAATTTTGTACCAGAAGAAATAAGACCAATATCATTAATCATTTTATTTGCTTGGAACGAACCTTGCCTGTAATCATAAATGCATAAAGTATGCCCAAATGTATCATTCTCCCATACACAATGCACCAAAGATCGATTTCAAGAGCCTACTCAATCTATGTTTAATATAGATATGTTAAGAATTTGGATTCCATCTTAAAAGGTCAATCTTATTAAGAGGAGTAACTCAATCCTTTATAAGTTAGTTTATGTTTACATCTTTATTCGATGTGAGATTCTATTCCTTAACATGCCCCCACAAGATGGTGGCTCGTTTGAGCATACCATCTTGAAATCCGTATGCTCACTTTTAGAGTCTTAACCGGATCAAATTGCTCGTTAGAGCTTAATGGGCTCTGATACCATGTTAAGAATTGGGGTTCCATCTTAAAAGGTCAACCTTATTAAGAAGAGTAACTCAATCCTTTATAAGTTAGTTTATGTTTACATCTATATTCGATGTGAGAGTTAGTTTATGTTTACATCTTTATTCGATGTGAGATTCTATCCCTTAACAAGATACACAATATAAGTTCCTATATTAGTTCTTAATTTCTTGTTCATACCAATTATTTCAAATGAGCCTGGAGGATTTGAGGTGAACCTTTTCATTTCATCAGTGTCATTTGAACCTTCTCATTCCACCTCCGCATTTCCTTACGGAGTAGACTACTAGCTTTAGTATTAGTCCTTCAATAGAGATTACAAGGCCAGCTCATTCCACATCAAATCACTATCTCCAATCAGAACACATTTTTCCTTCACGTTTCACCATCTTCGTTAGACTCAAATAATTTTTTCAATTAAGTTCAGTTTTCTGAAGCAATTAGGTAGTTCTACGTTGTAAACTTAACCAATCACATCTTATTGAGCAGCTACTCTGCATCCCACATAATGTAGACAGTTAATGAGACTCTCATTTGTTGCCTGAAATGCATCTCATCAATCATCTTGATAAGATGTTCCAATTTTATTGTCAATTTGAAACAATACTACATAAAACTCACAGCTGATGTCACAAGTTATATACACCCATAATTCCTATAAATAATTGCAGATCCCTATTATTTTTAATACCTTTCCAGCTTTTCAACTTATCAATGTTACACCAAATGCACAAAGGATTTGCAAGAAGAAAATGATCATATAGAAATGCAAGACAGTGCAAGGATGAGAATGATATTTAGCAGTGCCATTCACCGGATCAATCGTGCCATTTGGGAACAGTGAGTAGAATAGAAGTCCATCCCCTCTGCGTGGCTTTACTCTTAGACCAATACATTTGCTGAAATCATAATTGCCATCCATGTTTAGCCCATTCTGCAGATCAAAGCATTTTAAATGACTGCCGAAACCAGTACTCGAGGACTCCAGGAAAGCGGCAATGAGAGGAAAAGGAAGCTGGAGAATACAAGATACAATGGGCTTGATCTTACCTCAAAAGGAAACATGGTTTCTCCTCCTTCCTCAACATCCGATAGATACAACAAGAAAGAAGCAACCTGAACAAATTTACATCAAATCGAGATTACAAGAAGCGACGTCATCTTAGTCTAAGAGATGGTAATTGAATCTTTATAAACAAACATATCACAGTGACAGACTGACGAAGATCTACCCAAAGGTAGTTTTTCTTTGTTGGGTGGTTAGGTAACCATTGTGCAGCAAAGGGTTGATGTAATCACTAAGAGAACAACTAATCTCAGCCATAGTGAAACTAGAAGATTGAAATAATAAAAATGAAAAGAAGGAAGAAGAAAAATGGAGATGTGCGATAATAATACTTGTGCTGAGCTGAGACAAGAAACCAAAATAAAGGAAGCTTCCAAATGTTTTAGATTGTAAATGCATTATGAAATTGTCGTGTGTGCCCCCGTAATTTGCTGCGAAGGCGTATTAAGTGTAGTAGAATAGCGTAAGTCAAACCTTTTTCATCCAAGGGGTAATAAGATATTAGGACCGAGGACAGCGATTAAATCCCAGTAATCAGAAACAGTATGAGAGGAAAAAAGGTTGTTTCCTCTTTATTTTTTGATAGAACATTGATTGCTCATGATGTCTCAGCCTCTCAGGTATATATCACTAGATTGCCCATCAGGCACTTCAAATCTAATTCCAAGAAAAGAATGCCAAATAAAGATCTAATATATTGGTTATCTTACCCTTTGACTCTTCTGAGGACCATATTCAGCAGGATTAAACGCATCATAATGAGACTGATATCTCTGACCAATCTCATAACGCAAGACGTTGAAAGCCTGAAATTGAACTGGAAGTCAAAGGTCTACTAATTCAACAAAACAACAGTCACGAAACTGCATGCAGTAATTCAGCCTAAACATGTGGAATCATTATACGCACAAGTGGTTCAAAGTAGTTTGAAAAAATTAGGGAACAGAACTCTAACTCCAGAAACTCATATCTCGTATACATTTGGCATTGGTAGAAATGAAATCTCTGAACACAATTTTACTAGTAATTAATTGTATATTCTTTGAACTAATAACAGCACCTTGACAGGATGTTTCTTATAGAAATAGATAGAGAACTATGTTTCATATTGTCATGCGGTACACATCAAACATTTTAACAAGAATTTATGTCTTTTTGAAATAGAAGAAATGCTAAAAGTTCCTCATAAAACGATTTTTAATTTTAGTCCGGCCTAAAGCATTGATGCTGAGGTTTGTGTAACTACAGATATTAAACAGGGCACAAACTAGAATGGTGCCTTTCATACATATGAGACCATAAAAGAGTTGTCTTGAAAGGCCTTAGCAGTTGGGCTACATTATTCTTTACGAGGGGTGCAAATATGGATTCACAGTTTGTGCCATATGCAAAATATGAAGTCAGTATATGCACGTATAGGCAACGGGAAACAGTAATGTAGTTTGACAGTCACTACCTCTCCATGATTCCTGGGGATCATTGTTGCTTTAGCAATTTTTGCCTCAATCCGATCCAGGAGTCCAGTTTTGTCTTCAGACGAGCTTATAAACGTGCCAGAACTAATACAAGAAAAATCATATGCAAAAAAATATATATAATGCGAATTACTTGCATAAATAAAAAAGAGTAACACAATGCTTAAAAAAGAGTACAGTGTAACCTAATGCCATACACATGATTCCTTAAGATCAGCCATGTGATCCAAGATGAAAATAGTCACCTTGTCCTAATTCCTTTTGTATTATCTGCTGTTTCTCCCGGGCGTAGAGCTAAGGATGATGGTTTGAGGTCTTTCTTTGCTATTTTGATTATGCCTTGGCATTGTTCTGCAGTGGCGAAATTTGGAAAGTATAATGCCCGGGGACTCCAGCTTAAAATCTACATAAGAGATTAAAGGATCAAGAATGGTGCATTGAAAAAAAAAAAAGAAAATGAATGCTTATGGCTTATATAGAAAAAAATTTCTCTAATGGTTGGTTGAAATCGTTAGGTTTAAAATCCAGCATTTACAAATGCAAGTTGTGCCCATTAATTTCTAGTAGTGCTCTTGCCTGAAAAAACATTCAAAATATAAAATATGCCTTGAACACGTGATGTCCAGCCTAGGATTTAAAACCGGCAGTGTGTTGGATCATTCAAAAAAGTGTAAAGGATTCGAGACTAGGATTTCAAATCTCATCAATTCAAATGCTATGATCATCCACGGCTTCTACCATTGGTCTTTCCATTTCAAATTTAACAGTGGATCATCCTGTCAACTAGAAACCATTCTTTTAAAATCCATCCATCTAAAATGAACTTAGTTCATTCGGCAACAATGAATACAAGGGGAAGATTGAACACAAACTAAAAAATGTTTGACTCCATAGGTACAAAATTGTGATCAGCTTTTCAAGTACAAATTGATTCCAAACAACCAATTATCATTATGGCACTACATCTTAACTCATTACCGAACTATTCTACAAATATAATAAAATAAAATAGAACGGAATATAAAAAGAAAAAATCCATTCCTAACCTGTTTAACTACAGAATGGTAAGTTTTCAAATCCATTAATAAAATCCTAAAATGCACACACCTGAAAAGGAATCCGTGTGAGAGACGCCTCTCCTGTCTTTCCATGTGGTAACAAATCAAACTCTTGATTATTCTCCACCTCCAGTCCCCGTGGTTGAGGCCTTAAAGTACTTGAGACTTCCTGACATCACAATCAACCAGTGATCTATCATTTCGCACACACACGAATAGTGATTCAGCAAAAAAGAAACTGACCTGCTGAGAGAAAAGGGAAGAACCAAAGAATCCAGCGAGAAAGAAGAAAAGGCACAGGAGGAAAATCGACGGCAACCCTAGACTCAACCAATTACCTCCTCCACTTTTACTTCCTTTGTTCTTCATTTTTCCCCTTTAATCGATCGTCTTTTTGTAACGGCGCATATAAGAATAATTCTTCTCCTTTTCCGGTTTTCCCTTCTTTTTGTGAAGTAAAAAAGACAAGTCAATGCGACTGGGGGAAAGTTTACTTGCCATCACGACAGGCAGAGAACCGATCGGCCCGTGTTGACTTTCTGACGTCGCCGGAATTTTTTATTCCTATGATCCCAAACAAGTACTTAGTTAGCCACATAAGCATTAATCATTTAATTATTGAATATTGTTATCACGTAAACAAAAAATATTTTGATTCAATTAAATCTCACTAGATTATCTGTTGATAAATCATTATGTAAATTATTATATACATGTAGCACTATCTCAATTTAAATATGCTTCCAAATGTTTGTTCAAAATTGAATGAAGGTATTTATCATCACTTGTGATTAGCAAGTTTGGTGGTTATTTTATTTTCCAATAAAGTTACAATGCATTTTTATTTATGAACTGTGACCGCATTACTATTTAAATTGATGCTAATCAATGATGAGATACAACATTATTCTTCGATCCTAAACAGGGGTGGACTTGGGTTGGGGGGGGGGACGTGGCCCCCAACTTTTGAGTTTTTTTTTTTAATATAAAATCATGTTTGGTATCGATTGAAATATAAATTTTAATCTAAATCAAAGTTAACAATTAATTTTAATAACATATTTAATGGAATTCATAACTATTTAACTTTTATCAAAATTTACTAAAATTTTGATTTTAATTTCCATCAAATATTGGCAAAATCACAATAAATTTTAATTTTTCTATTTGTCTCTCGTTTTTTAACAAAATCTTAACTCTCCATCAAATAAGGGTGAAATATTGCATTATTAATACCATTTTGAAGTATTCACGGTTTAGTTTTCTATGTCGTTAATAGCGTACGAAAGATCAATCGTAGCAAATGTTACAACTTGTCAAAGTTATAAGTGTTATACCCTAGGTCCAATCAATTTTGGATATAAACACTTTAAATATATATAATTGATGCATGTATGGTAATATCTATTATTTAATTGAATTAATATTCTAATAAATTAAATAATAGAATCCGTAGATTCAAGTCTTGGTGATTTATTAA